GGCGTCCGCACCCCAGCTCTCACAGGCCCCCACTCACCTGCCCGGCCAGGGTCTGCAGGGAGCGAACGACTTCCAAGAGCACCTCCTGGGAGAGGCTGGGGCTGCAGCTCTGCTCCCGGCTCCCGTCGCCGACGCACGGGCGTCTGTGCTCAGCGGCAGCAGCCATGACACCTCGCAGGCGCCCCGAACCACGGGAGAGCGCTCCCGACCCCACCCCTCCCCGCTTCTGCTTTCGTCGCTTGGCGATGACGTCAAAACACAGCGTCTTGGGAAGAGCGGGACTTGGAAGACCCAGCCTTTGTCTGTGACTGACAAGCACATGCACCAATCAGGTGCAGCATGACGTCACGCCGAGGACTGGGAGGAGGTGGCTGCCACCTGGTGAGGCTGGCAGCAAGGTTTGCGGTGCCGACTGCAGGTGTGGTCCGCTTAGGGTTAGCGTTGGGAAGTCTCTTGACTCCCTAGAATCTAGGGCCCAGATGTTGCTTATGAGTTTCTGATAAGAGGAAACTTATGATTAAAGGGTAGATTTTCAGTCCCAAATTAAAAGTTGAAATTTTAACATGTCACTGTGGAGTGATCTGGGGGAAAGATCGCTGCTCAGGTATGCAGGTGCCCACACATATTTCTAAACGTTGGAAAGTAGAATTGCCCTAACGGGATAGAACGTTTTCATCTCTACGAGGTTGTTTAAAACTTACTCAAATTAACGTCACTAATTTTTCATTCGAAGGAGAGGAGGAAAGGAACAATAAAACGCTCTATTATGCCTCACTATCAAGGGAATAGTATTTTAAGTCTGCTAAATAATTATGTCAACTTTTAAAACGTGGATGAGTTGCTATTCTCTGAGGGATGCAGTGAGGACGTTCACCCTAAAACTGTTTAAAAGAAATGAAACACTGTCAATATAATTCGAACAGGAATTTAACGCAAGTATTGCATTGCAGCACAATCTTGGAAATTAAAAGGAAGATATAAATCCGAATTGAAATTTGACAATGTTATTTATCAGATAGCTTTATTAAAAGATATTTGAAGGACTTTGTAATCGCCTATCAAAGTCTAATATTTTTAAATGGTGTCCCATTGAAAAAAACACACACAAGTTTTAGAAGAATTTTTAGTGTTAAGCTCTATTCAAAAACACTTAAAAAAATAACAGTTTAGAGATAAGGGAAGAAGAATTTTAAATTCTTAATTCTAATAGTCTAATGAATTACAGTAGAGGAAGCATAGGTGGAACTTGCACAATGCGTATTCTTATTTTAAAGTAGGCTGAATGAAAGGGGAGGAATAAGGCATCAAGGAACTGGGATAAGGGCAGTAGGGATAAAAAAAATTCCTTTGACCTGTCCCTAGGGAGCCTCTTAATTAGTCTTTCATTTCTAAAGATTGCCAGGCTTGACAGGGTCTTGAGAAATCTTTTCTGTTCCCTTGTTCACAGCAAGCTATACAATTTGCAATCCAGCCTACATCTAGAGATATCCAGAAAAAGATTTCACAATATATAATCCCATATTGAGCAAGCTTCTCATTCAAGACACTTGTCCCCCTATCTGACGGGAAGGCATGATTCTTTGGAATGTTAGCATATTTTCTTCTCTTGTTAAGAAGAGAATAATTGTAATGCGTTAATTAGAAGTTTTTATTATATAACAAATTAGCAACTAGTTCAGGTCATTCTTTTTAATCTAGATATGAAGATGGTTTGTGGAGGGCTTTGTGTGTGTGTGTCCCCCCCCCCCAATATTTAGGATACTGGTATGAAACACATTTGGAACATGTTTTGTATAATACAAGAATACAATCTTTAATAAAGCAGGTACTGCTTATTTCTTTAGGTGCCATCACTCTTTTTGAAATTTCAAATTTTACTTGTTTCCTTGAACTCCTAATATAGAATTAATTGATAGACATTTGATTTATATACAGGTTTCCCCAATATCCAAAAGTAGAGCGTTCTTATCAAACCTTTCATAAGCCGAATGGGGCAAAGCCAAGACGCAATTACCATTAATGTATGTGGAAATATTTTTGAGCATTCCCAAAACCCCAAAATAATCTATCAGATCATACCACACATGCTTAATTACCTCCAGTTTTAAGCTAAGCATAACACCCTTACTAGTTCTCTTAGGCTTTCTGATACCTTAGGACACATCTTGCTAACAGATGCACAAAGTAATTCTGTGCTTCCACTTATGTCTTAGCATTAATAATACTTAACATTGATAATACTTAGAATTTAACTCTTTTATGCAACAGTTCTTCTTTCTAGGGGCCACTAATTCCTTCCTGATGCCTATTATCTCCAGTTTGGAAAAAATTAAATTTTCTTCTATTTATTTTAAACAAGAGTTTGTAGACTGAAAAGATGTGGATTTCATTGGGCTCACTTTAAATAGAAATATATAGATAGTAATGTATAACAAAAATATAATGAAAGCTATAAAATTTAGAAATGAAATAAAGGAAATAATTTGCCTTTTGTAGAAGACTACAGTTTATAAAGTGAGTTGCTGAAAAATCTTCCGCTTGGCAGAAATCAAAGTGTTTGTTGGTGTTGGCACTAGCAAGAGTTAGAAATACTATTCTGCAAATTTTTACTCTTGAGAGGATAGAAACAATAGTTGAAATGTAGGCTACCTACCTTATCAATAAAAATGTTCTTTATGAAGAGATTTAAAAGCACAACTCTATAGCTCTAGCCAGTGTGGCTCAGTTGGTTGGAGTGTGGTCAGGTACACTGAAAGTTGTGGGTTTGATTCCTGGGCAGGGCACATACCCAGGTTGCCTTGGTTGGGGCACATGCAAGAGGCAACGAATCAATGTTTCTCTCTCACATCGATGTTTCTCTCTCTTACTCTCCCTCTCCTTCTCTCTCTAAAATCAATAAAAACATATCCTTGGGTGAAGATTTTTTTTTAAAAAAGTACAACTCTATTAGTGTCTAGCAAAATGTCTGAGATATTATATGTGCTCAAAAGATTTTTGTTCAATTTATGGTAGTACAAATTTTCCCTAACGCAGAAAACAAAAAATAAATGTTATTTGCCTTCTCTGGCTCCCTATGACCTGTTGGGTAAGTCCAAGTTCCTTAGAATGGCAACTAAGGCTATTCTCATGATTTAGCTTTTGCCTAAATTTCCAGCCTCATTTTCTACCATAAACCATCTGGTGCTTAATACTCCTGAAACTGTTTTTACTTCAAAGCTTTACTATTTTTTGCCTGCATGTTTTTACATTTATATCCTTGCCTTTTGTCTGCTTGGAAAACTCCCATTTCTCCTTCAAACTCCACCTCAGGAGTCTTTCCTCATATTCCTTCTCATAAAGATTTTATCTTTTCTGCTAACCTATTTCTACAACTCGTATATACTTTCATTATTGTACTTATCACATTGATACTGAAATTTATTTGATTACAAATCTGTCTCCCCATTAACTATGGACATTTATATGTATCATGTTTGTGTACTTAAGGCTTAGCAATTTCTGACAGAGTAATTTCTCAGTATATGCTTGTTGAGCTAAACTTATTTGCCTATCTAAGGTGAACAGATTTGTAAAACAGAAAAAAAAAAACATGTTTCTACTCGAGGTGAAATTGTAATACATAGTAAGGATGTTATAAATAATAAAGCATGTCTGTTTTTCCTCTTCTGGAATACCAAATTCAATGTGATCACATTTTTCTTAGTGAATAAATACAGCTGGCTTACATAACCATTATAATGAATGATAGGCATACAAATTAATTATACTTACTCTATGCCAGTCTGATCAGCATTGGAGGTACAAAGATGAATTGGACAAGGAGTCTCAGAGAGCTCCAATTCTAGTGAGCTAGGCATATATGTAAACAAAATATATATGGCTAAGTGACCGACTGCCTGTCTGTCCAACTGACCGACTGGCTATACATATGATGGGCACTGGCAATTTAAAAATAAACGTTGACTCGCGCATTTAAATAAACTGGCCTCTCATTTAAATGAATTCAAAGACAGTTTCCAGTGATGCCAGCATTTGCAATGACTATTAATAAATCACAAGAACAAATTCTAGACAAAGTAGGAATATTCCTACCCGAACCCGTTTTCGAACATGGTCAGTTATATGTTGCTTTCTCTCAAGTTCGAAGAGCGTGCGATGTTAAAGTTGTAAATACTTCATCACAAGGGAAATTAGTCAAACACTCTGAAAGTGTTTTTACTCTTAATGTGGTGTACAGGGAGATATTAGAATAAGTTTAATCAATTTATCAGTCATTGTTTTTACCAATGTTGTTTTTATATCATGTTTTTGTTATTTTTATATCATGCTTTTATTGTTTTTATATGTTTTGTTTTTATATCATGTTTTTGTTGTTATATTATGTTGTTCATTTATTAATCGATTTATCAATCATTGTTTTTATCAATGTTGTTTTTATATCATGTTTTTGTTATTATTAATATGTCTTTGTTGTTTTTATATCATGTTGTATTGTTTATTTATTAATCAATTTATATATTATTTCCATATACATTTTACTAATTTTCTTTCATCACTGACACTTCTATTATAGAGAAAGGGCAAATAGCAATATTAAAATATTTTGTATTTTAATTTTATAATATTATAAATACTATTTTGACATGTAATTTTTTGCAATAACATAATTACCGCATGAATCTTTCTTTAATTAATTTCCTTTTGAGGTGCACGAATCCGTGTACTGGGCCACTAGTTATGATATAATGTGACAATGATCATGTTGGAAGGATGTATAAAGCAATACAACCAATTATTTCCTTTTGTGAGGTGTTTGGATTCTGTGTCAAGGAAAATATCTAAACACTGGTAAAACAAGGATTGAAGCTCAAATGATGAGTAAAAGTTAAGTAGGTAACACATGAGCAGTAATTTGAATATGATTTATGTGTTTAGGGAGATTACATTGAACAGAGAAGTGTGACTAAGTCAGCATTTTCCAAAGTTTGTTCTGCTAAATACTAGTCCTATAAAAAGCTTCTTTCAACAAAAATTTCCATGATTAAGTAGGTTGAAGTAATATTGACTAATTGTGTTGCCATGTCATGCAACAGATCACAGCATTCTACGTTCTATTAACAAAGAGCTCAGCACTATAATTGAGTCCAAGGACACAATTAAACCAATCTCAAAATTCCATCTTTAAGGATTTGTTTATTGGGACTCTGTGCCAATTTTTTAATCAATCAAGATTTAGTGAAGA